GCAACGCGTCGTTGATAGCACCTCCTTTCGGGGTGCTAGCCCTGCAGATCTGTTAAAGCCTCTAAAATAGCGAAAAACAGCTGTTTAGCGGTTTGAAAATTTTCCCCTTGGGAAAAGAGGGGAAAGAGAGCAGCCAGGCTTGGGTTGAGCTCCCCAAGAGTCCCAGGAACAATTCTGGGGCACGAAGGGTGAGAGCTCCCTAGAAGCCTGACACAAGCTCCGGACCCGGGACGCTTCTGCATTTAGCAGAACAAGACCCCGCGACCATCCCTGCAACATTTTAACACTATTTTGGATACAAAGCAGGCAGAGCAAAGACAGGAGGAACTCCAATTGCAAGTATTAAACTTTAACTCCTGTGTATTGAATACTTCCTTCTTGATTGCTGTGGGAAGAAAGTGAAAGGAAATGACGCCGAGTCTTAATTGGGTGTGGTAGCGAAAGTTAACTTCAAAGTACTCATCTGCGCTGACAGTTTCTGCTGCTAATAAACGAGACTGGTCTCAAAAGAAAGAAGAATTAAATTGGACTGTAAAGAAATTTAAATTTACTGAGGACTGAAATTAATTGGAAATTGAGTTAACGTCTGGGAGTGGTTGCTGTAAAAGTTTTAATTTGGAACTGAAAATTTGAAAATGGCTTCTAAGCAAATAAAGATTGCTGGGGCTAAAATTACTGTGAGCTCCCCTATTCCATCACCCAAACCGCAATCTTTGACAGCTCCAGCAGAACCACAAGTTTTAACCCTGGAAGCCTTGCAGCAAGCCTTAAAGCTGCAAGCCTTCTCTTTAGAAGAAAAATTTACTTCTGTTCTTGATGAAAAAATAAAAGTGGTGACTGATAAAATGGATGAAGTAACTCTAGAAGTGACAGAAATTAAGGATGAGATTCAAGCTCGCAATAAGGCAATTATTTTGCATTTAAAGGTTTGGCAAGTCATATTGAACGGTTAGATGAAAGACTAGAGGAGGTTCATCAATCAAATGTGAATTTGGAGTATAAAATGGGAGAAGTTCAGACTCAGATAGAAAAAGCAGACCCAGAGGTGATGATGATACAATACAGAGCGATGGAATTTGCTGTAAGAGTAAGAGGCCTGAAAGAAAATACCCAAGAGAATTTGAGAGAGATCTTTGCAGAAGCCTTTGCACAGATAATTCAAGAAAGAAAGGAGGATCTGGATTGGCAAATGGATAAAATTTATGCGTTAATTCATGGGTGGCCAGGCAGAGAAATTTACCAAGAGATATTGTAATTTACTTTACAACAAGAAGGCTAAGAAATATGATATTGCAGGCTTCCTACAAAAATAAACTTCAAGTGGCAGGGCAAGAAGTTCTAACACTAAAAGAAATTCCTCCCAAAATGTTAAGAGCAAGGAAGGACTATGCTTTTGTGGTGGATGAACTCAGAAAACGTCAGATACAGTATAGATGGCAGATTCCAACTGGATTGGTGGTGGATTATTCAGGACAGAGATTTCGTCTTAATACATTATGGAAAGCAAGGGATTTCTACTTTAATGTATTGAAGGCTTCTGGGGTTCCTCTTCCCCAGAAACCAGAAGAAGAAAGGAAATAGAGGAAACAAGAATGGGAGTGAAAGAAATTACCCAGGCTCTGGCAGAGGCTCAAGGAGGGGTTTCGATTGTTGAAGAAGATTTATTACAATTTACGAGCTCTGCCAAAGATGTGGAGTTATTTGGCAAAGTAGAGGAGCCGAGAGATCAAAGGCAGACTCGAGCAGCAAAGAAACGCCAAGAGGAATTAAAGGTGCAGCAAGCTCAGATCAAAGCACAAGAAACCACAAAATCAGAGGCAGTGGGAGGAGCTAGGCCGAAGATCAAAGTGAAAGATGACCTTCAGCTGATGCTTGAAAAGCTTCAAAGTGCCAAAAATGGCAAGTAAATTTCTAACTTGGAATGTCAATGGATTAAATTCACTGCAAAAGAGGAGGAAAATATTTCATTATCTGAAGCAGTACAAAAATGATATTATATGCCTACAAGAGACACATATTAGAATGCAAGATCAAAAATATTTAACAAATGCAAGATTGGGGACACATTTTAGAGCATCTGCACCGGAGAAGAAAAATGGTATAGTTATATACCTAAAAAAAGACTTATTTGCTAAATTAATTGAAGCAGATCCACAAGGAAGATATATTGCAATTGAAATCTTAATAGAAGGGGAAAAAACATTATTGATTGGATTATATGCAACAAATCAGCAACAAGAAAGTTTTTATAAGACTTTACATGCTAAATGAATACAGTGGAATTATAAAACACATATAATGATGGGAGACTGGAATGGAGTTTTGGATATTAAAAAGGATAAAAAAAGATCTCTACAAAATATTCAATCACGTGCTAGATTGCCTAAATCTTTTTTTGATATGATGGAGGATATGGAGTTGAGAGATATTTGGCATGAGAGGAACGGAGAAGAGAAAGATTTTACCTTTTTTTCTGATAGACTTCAGTCATTTTCCAGGATTGATTTTATATTAATTTCTAATGAATTTTTTTCTAGGGTGAAGAAAACGAAAATATGTCCAAGAACATTAACAGATCATAGTCCGGTTTGGATGGAATTAGAATATGAAAAGGCACCCAGGAAGTCCTGGAGGCTGAATGAAAATTTGTTTAGATATGAGGAAAATGTGAAAGAATGTAAACAATTTATGAAAGAATTTCTTGTTATGAATTTGCATAAAGGTACACCTATGGAGACGGTTTGGGATGCAAGTAAGGCATATATGAGAGGTATTTTAATTTATTTGAATAATAAACATAGACGTAAACGGGAAAGGAAACGGAAGGAGTTAGAAGAAGAAATAAAAAATAAAGAGCAAGTATTAATTTTAAACCCAACTGACAAGAAAACAAAAGAAGCAATTAATTTATTGCGAGGACAATTTAATATGTTGATGGCAGATCAGGTAGCAACTAATTTGCAATATGCCAAACATAACTCCTTTTGTAATGCAAATAAACCAGGCAAATGGTTGGCATATTTGCTTAGGAAAAAACAAAAGCTACGTACTATAGAGAAAATAGAATAGAAGGATAAAGAGGTGTACCAGCAAAATATGATTTAAAAAGCATTTTCAGAATTCAATACGAAGTTGTATACTAGTGACAAAATTCAAGGTATAGATATAGATAAATATTTACCGAGGGGGAATATCTCTATAATTTCAGAAGAACAAAGGGAAGGTTTGAATCAATTGATAACTGTTGAGGAAATTATTTTAGCAATTAAACAATTGAAGGTGGGAAAAGCCCTTGGGACGGATGGGTTGACAGCGGTTTATTATAAAAATTTGCAGGCAGAAATGGTGGAACCACTTAAAGAATTATTTAATAAAATACAAACTGGAGGACAAGTGCCTCCTTCTTGGAGAACAGCATTTATTTCCCTGATCCCAAAGGAAGACCAAGATCATACTCAGCCAAAAAACTATAGGCCTATATCATTGTTAAATATAGATTACAAGATCTTTACTAAAATATTGGCAAATAGGTTGATGCCAGTTATGCAACAAATGATTCACAATGACCAAACTGGTTTCATTAATAGGCGATATATGAAGAGTAATGTAAGACAAATAGTTAATATATTGGAGTATTTGGGAAAAAACAACCAGGTCCCTGCGGTGCTTATATTTTTAGATGCGAAAAAGCGTTTGATCGACTGAACTGGAAATTTTTGTTGAAAATAATTGAAAAGATGCAATTTGGAGAGTACTTTATACAATCTATTAAGGCAATATATCAGCAACAAACAGCACAAGTAATAATTAATGATAGTTTAACGGAAACCTTTAATATAGAAAAGGGAACAAGACAAGGATGTCCTTTATCTCCATTATTGTTTATTTTGACTTTGGAAATTTTGTTAAATAAAATACGTGGTTCAGATAAAATAAGGGGAATTAAAATTAGGAATGAGGATTACAGGGTACGAGCATTCGCAGATGACCTGGTTGTGACTTTGCCCCAACCAATAAATTTGGTTATAGGTTTAATGGATATAATTAATCAATTCTCTGGACTTAAAATTAACACAGGGAAAACGAAGATAATAATTAAAAATATGGTTACAAGTCAAAAGGAAGAAATTGAAAGAATAACAGGATTTGAATCAGTTAAGAAGGATAAGCATTTAGGGGTTTATATTACAACATCAAATGCGAAACTATATAAGTGTAATTATGAATTATTGTGGCAAAAAATCCAGAAAGAGATGGAAAGTTGGAAAAAATTGCAATTATCATTGCTGGGAAGGATAGCTGCAGTAAAGATGAATATTTTGCCAAAGTTCTTATTTCTTTTCCAAATGATACCAATACTGAAAAAAGATGGAAATTTGAACGAATGGCAGAAGGGTATTACTAATTTTGTGTGGGCAGGAAAGAGACCAAGGATAAAATGGAAAATAATGCAAGATATACGTGAAAGAGGAGGTCTCAAAATGCCTAATTTAAGATTGTATTACGAGGCAGCTGTGCTCTCAGCAATTAGTGATTGGATTAATTTAACAGAAGAGAGAATATTGAATATTGAAGGGTATGATTTGTTATATGGATGGCATGCATATTTACTATATGATAAAAGGTGGATAAGAATTTTAAAAGTCATATATTAAGAAATGCATTATTCCGTGTATGGAAAAAGTATCAATATAAATTAAATAATAAATTACCGGTTTGGACAATACCTAGACATATGATAGAAAATATAAGTGTGGAGCAGAAACAAGATGTGATTACTTATAAAGAGCTTCTTATTTTGGAAAGAGGTATATTGCAATTGAAGTCTTTAGAGGTATTAAAGGAAGAAAGGAAAATTCAAACCTGGTTTCAGTATGGGCAGTTGTATACTAGGAGAAGGGGGGAAAGGTGGGGAATTTGTTTGTAAAACATTTTAAAACTTTTCAATAAAAAAAAACATTTAGGGCTCAGCATGTAATCTTCAGAAGCTTAAGTAGCTTCACATTTCACTCTTTTACTTGGCTCGGTTGCAAAGATAGGTTGCTGGGAGTCTAAAACAACTTGATAGCATATAATCGGTGACAACATCTTGCAAACGCCTTAAGCAGAGACGGGACAAGCGTGTTTTTCGCCTCCGGTCAGGAGATGGCGATCACTTCTGCGCCTACAAAGCCATCAATACAGTAGCTGCATCTGTGGTTGATCCTTAAAGGAGTTAAAACCATCAAGTACTGTATTGCTAGAAAGGAATGAGGAAGAAGAGAAGCCCAGAGGAACTTCTTGTACCGGATCCCTCATGGGTGGAAGGTGGCTTGCAGAGCGGCTTTTGGGCTCTTCCAAAAGTTGAAGCATCAGCTGGAAGGTGAGTTGAGGGCAAGTTGGAGGAGAGGCCAGAAGCAAGTTGGGCTATTTGGTTTGGATGCTGCCAACCGATGCACATTTATGATGGTCGCAACATCCCACCATCATGATCCCCATTTTTGACCTTCCCAGCTTGTTTCTCATAGGCAAAGTTAGTGAGGATGATGATGGCAAGAAATTGCAAGTGACAGTCATGTGAAATTGCCTTTAACAACCCACAGTGGTTTGCTTAACAACTCCACAGGAACAGATGTAAGTTGGCAGTTATGTGACATCATGCTTCATGATCGGGCTGCTTAGTGACACAGATCCCAGTCCCAAATGTGAGGACTCCTTGAAAGGGGATGTCACCAGAGGAATTGTGGACAGGAGGACAGTATTTTCTTATCTGGAGCTGAGGACTTCCATCGGTATAACTGGTGTTTTAAATTTTGCAGAGGCTTTAGGCATCATTTCATCAGTTAAAGCCCCCACATCTCTAAATTTAGCTGAGAAGGTTTAATTGTAACCATTTTGGGACATTTTTCAGGCTGAAAACATGGATTTTTCACATATATACATTTGTAGGTGTACATGTAATTCTCTCTGCAGTTGGATAATCTATCCCCAGTGCTTCTAGATATTCAGTCATGTTAAAAACAAAGTACACCCTCTTTGAGTTGTATGATTTTATATATCAGGACATACTAAAAATCATCTGGTCTGTACACTCTTAAAAGTAGGTAAATATAACTTCAGATGACATATTACATCACGTCATCATCAAAGGTGGGTTTGCTAACGGTTTATGCACACACACCACTTAAAATTAGAGATCAGACATAGAAGACCCAGGCCTTCGCAGATGATATGGCCTTTATCTTGGAAGACCCTTTAAAATCAGGCATATCCTTACTGGAAAAAATTGAGGAATTTGGGGCTGTAGCAGGTCTGTTAATTAATAAAAAGAAGATGAATATTTTAACTAAGAATATCTCAGAGAAAGGCAAGCAGGATCTAGAGGAAGCAAAGGACTTAGAGTAGTTAGTAAAGTCAAGTACCTGGGAATTTGGTTAACATGTAGATGCTCGAGCATCCAGGAGGATAATTATACTAAAATACTAATTCAGGTAAGGAAAGATCTTGATAAGTGGGGTAAAATTCAATTATCACTCTTGGGAAGGGTAGCAACAATAAAATCTTATGTTCTACCAACATTTAATTTTCTTTTTCAAACAGCTCCAGCGAATCTATCAAATAAATTTTTTACAGATCTAAACCAGGTAGTAACCAAATTTGTATGGCAAGGGAAAAAATCCCGTATTAAAAAGAAAATGATGCAGGAGACAAAAGAAAGAGGGGGTCTTGGTTTACCGTGCTGGGAGAATTATTATTTAGCCGCCTTACTAGTTTGGGTTAAAGAATGGATTATTTTAAACAAGCGTCTTCTTAGGATAGAAGGCCACGACTTGCAACAAGGTTGGCATGCGGCACTCCGGCAGGACAATGCCCCCCAAAGTAAATGGTTCACTCGGCACTATATAAGGAATATTTTAATTCGGAGTTGGGAGAGGTTTAGTAAAAAATATTATACCAAAATACCTTGTTGGATATCGCCTCTAGAAGCTTTGACCTATCCTATACTATTTAATTGTTTTCTGTATGACCAAAAACAGTCTCTTGCATTCTTGTGGAGGAATTTTTGCCCACTCTTCTTTACAACATTGTTTCAGTTCATTGAGGTTTGTGGGCATTTGTTTATGCCCAGCTCTTTAGAGGTCCCACCACAGCATTTCAATTGGGGTGAAGTCTGGACTTTGCTATTGCAAACCTTGATTCTTTTCTTTTTCAGCCATTCTGCTGTAGATTTGCTGTTGAGCTTGGGATCATTGGCATGGAAACAAAAGAGATGGGATTTCTTCTTTGCTCTACCAGCGTAAGACTAGCGTAAAGTTAGCGCTGATAGAGCAAAGAAGACATCTGATCTCTTGTTTCAATGACAATCCTTTCCTCCCCAGCCAGTGTAAACGATGACAAAATCTTCTTAGATCTCTTCGCCAGCATAAAACTAGTGCCGGTGTCGCTAAGAAGAAATCATAGTAGTTTATGCTGATTGGAAAGAAAAGGATTGCAACGGAAGCAAAATAGGCCTGATTTCTTCTTAGCCCCACTAGCACTAGCTTTACATTAGTGTTGTGCTGGTAGAGCAAAGAAGAAATCTCATCTCTTTTGCTTCCATGGCAATCCTTTCCTCCTCAGCCAGGGTAAATCACTAATGCTGGCTGGAGTGAAAGGATTGCCATCGAAACAAAAGAGTTTATCTTTCTTCTTCTTGATTACACCATGTGGCCCAGCTGACTTCCTCAGCTCGTCAGAAATTTAGTAAGTGAATGGTGATGGGGGAGTGCGGTTGGGGAGGAATGCATAGTATATTGCAAAGCAGGCCAACATACTGGGGTCTGGGGATTGTGAGGACTGACTGGGCAAGATGGAAGGGAAATAGATGGGTGGGTATGCTGCAGCATGTCTGCAGTTAAGGAGTCAAGGACTCCCGGGGTGGGAGGCGCTGCAAAAATTCAACTTTGAAGCAGATTCGTATTTAGCAATTGGGAGAGTGTTGTAACTTAAACAGTCGTTGAATGGCCTGTCGTACCTAAAGGATTACCTGTACTTCTTTTTTTCACATCTTCTGCAACCCACCAGGGTTTCCACGCATTCCATCAGTCGAGGTCACAGGGGAGGGGCAGGGGAGTAGCGGTTATTATTAGAGAAGGCCTTAGGCCGAGGGAGACCACTGTTCCTCAGACGGCCAGTTGTGAGTCCCTCCTTGTGAAGTGGGGCCACGGGGTTCAGATGGGTTTGCTGATCACGTACCTGGCTCCCTGCCACGTGGCGGCAGCCCTGCCCGAGCTACTCAACGTTATCGCCGCGGTGGCGGTTGATACCCCCAGACTTATGGTCATGGGGGATTTCAACCTGCCATCTGTGGGTGAGGCATCTGAGGTGGCTCGGGAGTTCATGGCTTCCATGACGGCCATGGACCTGACCCAACTAATTCATGGCCCTACGCACACTGGGGGAAACACACTGGACTTGGTTTTTGTCTCTGGACAGTGGTTGAGTGATCTTGAGATAGGGGATATAGTCATCGAGCCCTTGTCATGGTCAGATCACTCTCTCCTTCGCCTTGACCTTCGAATCGCGGCACCCCGCTGCAGGGAGGCGGAACTGATAAGATGGTACCGCCCCAGGTGCCTGATGGAACCAGATAGGTTCCAGATGGAGCTTGGGCCAATCCCGGAGGTTCTGGCTCACACCTCGACTGGAGACCTAGTGGCCACCTGGGATAGGGCGGCTGCTGGAGCCCTGGACCGAGTCGTGCCTTTGCAGCCTCTGACCTGGCGCCGATCTCGCCTGGCTCCTTGGTTTACCGAGGAGCTGAGGGAGATGAAGCACTGGAAAAGATGCCTAGAGAGCTGTTGGAGGGCTAGTCTTTCTGAATCCAACCGAACACTAGTAAGATCTCATATTAGGAGTTACCTAGTGGCGATAAAAGCAGCAAAATGCACTCATTTTGCTGCTCTTATTGCATCATCAGATAATCGCCCGGCCGCCCTGTTTAGGGTGACCCACTCCCTGCTCCACCAGGAAGCGCGGGAGGACCCCTTGGAGAGAAGAGCCGAGGATTTTGTTCAGTATCTGCATGACAAAATCACTCAGATTCGGGCAGGTCTGGACTCCGACTGGATAGATCCAGCGAGGGTGACGGAGGCAGGTCTTGAGACTGTTATCTGGGATGAGTCTCGGCCAGTCCACCCAACTGCACTGGAAACAAGCCAACACCAGAACGGAATAAAGCAGTTGCAATCCTTTAATTAGGTTCAGCACAGCAAACACAGGCAGGAGAAAGGCACAAGCCGGAAACAAGGTTTAAAGTTAGCGTTACACGCAATCGCAGTGTAGCGCCTTTTATATACACAGCAATAAATCAAGTGGCAATTAAACAGTTAACATCACCCCTCCTTCCCCTAGCTGGCCTGAAGGAGGAGCACAATAAATCAATTAACAATCAAACAGTCAACATCATCCCTCCTTCCTCAAGCTGGCCTGTAGGAGGAGCGCGCCTCTGTTACAGCACAAGGCAGCGTCATCTGCAAACACCATGCCCCCCCATCTCCGATGAAAGAGTTTGCTTCGTTTTGTGTGCGGGTGGTAAAGACTTCTCAAACAGCTGATGACACGCCCCCGGAGAGTCCAACAGCTTGCCCCCTCCTCGTCGTCCTCCCTAGTGATGGCGAGACCCAACCGAGGCTCGACAGGCGGTTCCTCTCTACCAGGAGTCCACCTGCAGGAAATAAAATGAAGATGTTAGCATAGCAACCGTTCTACCCACTGGGACCTGGTTTATTTGGATATTTACGATGATACCGACGGAGCAACCGGTCGGCATGAACGTCTGGAGCTGCTACCCAAGATGCTTGTGCTAGTGGATAACCCTTCCACCATACTAAGTACTGTAACCTGCCTCTACGTAGACGTGAATCCAATACTTTATCTATCTCATATTGATCTGAATGACTCAGTCCCGGGGAAACAGGCTGATGTGTGGGCCTTTCCTCTTTGACAGGTTTAAGGAGGCTGCTATGAAAAACAGGATGTATTTTTCCTAACAGTGAAGGTAGCTTAAGCATGACAGTGACAGGGTTGATCACACATATTATAGGAAAAGGACCTATGTATTTGGGACCTAGTTTCCTACTAGGTAATCGTAATTTCAAGTATTTTGTCGATAGATACACGTGATCCCCTACAGAAAACGGTTTTGGGTCGGCTCTTTTTTTATCAACATAAAGTTTGTATTCATTTGCTGCTTTTTGAAGCGCCGTTTTTACCGCTGGCCACGTTTGTCGGATCTTGTCGGCCCAACCGGAATGTGTAGATACCCCTGTAGCTGGAGGTTCTACCTCAGGTATGGCAGGGAATTCTCTTCCATAGATGATTTGGAAAGGAGAAAATCCCGTG